GCCTTCAGCTCCTTCGCCCACGCCCAGGTGGCCGTCACCAACCAGGTGTTCACGCACCTGGGGCAGCCGGAGACCTTCCTCTTCTGCCCCACAGGTCAGACGGGGGCGGAGTCTGTTTATCAGGAGATCTTAGACTTAGACTTCCTGTATTGTCATTGGACAAAGCCACATAGTGAATATGACAACGAAATGTTGTTGCTTGGCTACCAAGTACAGCGAGGTCTGGATGTAGGTTAGCTAAGAGATACTGTGGATAATTAAAATAATAATAATTAAAGAAAGTATATATATAAATATATAAATTGATTAATTAATTAATTTGTTTTTTTTACCAATTTTATTCTTTTTTTATTGTACTTATTATTTATTTATTTATATATATATATATTCAATTAATTAATTAATTAATATTCTTTTTTCTTTTATTATTCTTTATTCTTTATTTATTTTTATTCTATTCATTTTTTATAAATTTTTATATTCATATGTATATAAATAAAAGAGCTGAGGAAAAAAGTGATTTTTAGTGCAATAAGTACTATCGAGTTGGGATATGAAAACAAACAATACAGGTAATAACACAGTTTGGTAGCAGCTTGGATTAATATGTAGAAATTAAATTATCATTTTTGGCATTCCACTGTACAGAAACCCTTAAACAAAAACTCTGAGTGAGTCGTTCTGTCTTTGCTTGGTTCCCAGACTACTGCGCGGCCTTCTGCACCCCCAGTGTGTCCCAGTCCCCGTACCTGCAGACGGTGGGGGGGGGGGCTCCTGCCCGGCATCGACGTGCTGTGGACCGGTGGGTCTCCCTCTCCTCCGCCCCCTTCAGAGCCCCCCCCCCCCCCCCCCCCTCACCGCCCTCTGTGTTGCTCAGGTCCCAAAGTGGTGTCCCACAAGATCTCCGTGGAGTCCATCGAGGAGGTGTCCTCCGTCCTGAGGAGGCCCCCCCTCATCTGGGACAACATCCACGCCAACGACTACGACCCCCAGAGGCTTTTCCTCGGGCCCTACAAGGCATGTTTTTAACTCATTGACTGCCAGAGTTTTTTGAGCATTTTGACTGATTCTTCAAGAGCCACAGAATAGTTTGCGCTATGACTATGTAAACACCGAACACACCAAAAG